GTGCACAGATGAATCCCTCCCAGGGATTATATTGTCTTATTTTCGGCCGAAGTAGTCCCTTTTAATTTGGAAATACAGGCTACAGAGTCTGAAGGATGAGGCACAGAATCCATGGTGTCTCAACACGTTTCATCTGTGTTGGTCCACTGTGTATCTATCAAAAGAAAAAATGGAGAATTGAATGCTTTCTTCTGCTGAGAAGCTCAATAGAGATGCTGGTTTCCTTTTGCAGCAGGATTCAGCAACTGCGCTTACCACTACAGGTGCAAAAAGCTGCTTCAATGCCCAGAATTAACCCAGCAGCAAATGTATGTGCTATTGCCAATGAGAAGATAGGAGACAACAGACCCAACAAGACCCCAGTGCCACTCTTAAAGGAATCTGGGCTTCCCACAGCAGAACCAAAGGCTGATCTCCACTGTGTGGCACACCACTGATGCAGTCCATCCATCCATTAATCCATCCATCCACCCTCTCTCCGTGTTGTCTGCAACACAGCGACACCCAACCACGCACACACACTAAGAACAATATAGAGACCCCACTTACAACCTAAAAGTAATGTTTTGGACTGTGGGAGGAAGCCAAACATGCAAACTCCATGCAGAAAGAGTAATTGAACGAGGAACCTTCTTGTTTTAAGGCAACAGTGCACCGTGCAGCCCCACTGATGTAGTATTTAATACAAAAAATCCTCAACACAGTTTGAGTTGTTAGAAATGAGTGAAGCTGGTCATTTCTGTTTGTGTTTATTAGATTTTTGTTATTTTTGTTATTGTCTATAAGCCGTAATTAGACCAAAAATTATAGAGAATAGAAGCTAAATATATTCCACTCTATGTGTTATAACTGTATATAAAATTAGTTTCATTTTCTGTATGTTTTCAGATGTATTCAAATATAAAATATATCTGTATATCTGTGGTCTGCGCAAAGAAAGCATGTAGCCCAGCTTAATTTGAAGAATTATGTTGTTTGGGGCGGGAATTATTTCACGTTAGCTAAAGGCTTTAATGTTGACCTGTAAAGTGATTGTCATGAAAGGGCTTTTGTTTTGTATTGACCTAGAATATAGAGTATTTTGTATTTTAAAGTACCCTGAAACAGTACTCAGGCCCCTTGAACTTTTTCAAATCTTATCACGGTGAATTACGGCTAAGAGGACAAAATATAATACAGCAGTGAACACACAGATAAAAAGGTCAGGGATACATTCAATACAGACTTGACAGGCTGCACCAAAGATGCATTAGTCAGAGAAGCAGCTAAACCACCCCATTGGCCAAAAAAGGAGTTTAAGCTACCAATGGCTCAGGTGGGGTAAACTGTAGATTGACAAAAACACATGTTTTATTTCATGTTAATTGAGCCTCAAACAGATTTTGAGTGACTAGAAATGGGCGAAGCTGGCCATTTCTGATTCTGTTCATAAGACTTTGGAGTTTTATTACGTGTAAGTGATAATTACAACAAAAATAGAGGCTGAAAAGAGTTTAGATTGAATAGTCAGTATAGTAAGATGCTCAGTTTATTGGTGATGTGTTTACTGGAAAAGAGTGTCTAAGCTTACAGAGAAATGACAGGAGAACCAATGTCAGGTGAGTAATAAACAGGGTGAAAGGCAATTAAGAGAGTAGTAAGGCTAAGAGACAGAGGAGAAACAGCAATAGGGAGATACAGAGGAAGACATGATAAATAAGGGGAAATATGAACTTTTGCTAAGCCACCCCAAATAAGGCAGAGCAAACAAAATAAAGAAATCTTAAAAGCCATATGAATAATATAGACACAAGAACCAGAGCACAGAACTTGGCAAATTCTTCTCAAATTTCACTGCACTGTTACGTGGCAATGTCAAACATGAGGAAGAAAGTGCTCTGATCAATGAAGAAAAAAAAGCTCTTTGGTCTTTGTGTAGTGAAAAACTAGGTACTTAAATAAACCATCTCTACATTTAAACAAGGTACTGAGAACATCATGCTGTGGGGACACTTTCTAGCTAAATGAAATATAGCTGGAGCCAAAAATCTGTTAGAGGTTGCAAAACACTTCCCAGTAGAAAATACACCCACTAAACAACCACAACAACACAACCAATTGACATGGCTTAGTCAAACTTCAGACTTACTTAGACTTAGACACACTTTATTGTGATTTTGTTCACAGAGTGTATACAAAAAGAAAATTCGTTCAGAACAGCTCTCAAGATAATTCCATTTTTAAAGTGCAGCAATGATCAAATGTAAACATGGTGATCAAATGTAAATATAAGACTGGTATATGATTTACAGTTTCTAGACCTACATCATTTAGAATTTGTGAAAAGTCCATTTAGTCTGAGTTAGCTAAAGCTATTCTGCCTAGAAGAGACGGTACAATGTTAATTCCCTAGATGTGAAAAGCTGGTTGATATAAAAGAATCCAAAGACTTTTGGGCTGTACACAATAAAATGTAGGAAATGTTCAAAAGTTTTGCTAAGCATCTGAGATTGAGTATAAAACTATAAAATATGGGATCAGTCAATAGTTTAAATTACATAATTCTCTTAGAATTTAAAGCAGTATTAAGAAGAAAAAATAAATCTGCAGGTGCAGAATAGGGTCAAAAAATCAGTAGAGATTGTTTTTCTTCCCCCCACGCTTGTCTGTTACTCAATGAATAAAAGTGGTGAGGGATATCAATACTAGACTAAACAAACTTGTAGGAAGTGACATGTTAGGACTTAGGAATTTGTTTTTTTTCCTGTTCATCTAATTGAGAGGGCTTTAATTCAAATTATCCCCCCCAGTATCCTGCTATGGGCTTTCATTTAGTACAACATGTTGACAAATGCTTCATCCATAAGTCTTGGCTTGACACAGAACCAACCTTATTAGATTCCAATGCTTGTAAATAAGAGAATGGGGATAGGAGACGGGGAGAAAATTACAGAAAGAAGGAAAAAACAGGTGGGGGATGGGAATTAGTTGGAAGGGAAGTGGAAGGATAGAGATGATGGGGGTGGTCTTCAGCAGGCATAAACTCAAAGTAGGTTCAGTCGGTTCATGTATTGCAGGGGAATTCTGACAGCAGGAGGAGGGGGATGGTAAGCTCTCTGAACCTGGTGCCTCTTTCATACATTCAAATGAGATCCCCTTGTTTTTTGGTTTCTGCGGCCAAGGGTTAACCTGTAGTTCTGTCATGATCACAGGAGGCATGCTGGGGTGGGCTTATAGCTGGAATTAAAATCTAATGTTTAGCAAATCAAACCTATGCTCTGCTGTGTGTGGTGTGTATATGACTGGGCGGCGAGTTCACATGTAAAATGTATGTATACTGGGGGAGGGGTGGGTTCCTTGCAGTACTTTGTAATATCCTTTTAAAAGCAAGTAAAATTGCCAGTGCATTAACCACATGTGCATTAGATAATCAGAAGAAAGAGCGTGTGTTGGTATATAGGTGTATGTAAACATGCTATACATCCTACTGCACTGCACGGTCACTCTGTTTGGCCTGTTGTCTGTTAAAAGTGAGGGGGGGATACATAGCTGCTTGTGGATAACCTTGAAGAGTGACATGTGACCACATGTGTGAGTCTATAGATACCGACGGCAAGAGCACAGAATGAAATTCAGGTTTTAAACTGTCAAAATAAGGGAATGAAGCATTATGTAATAAATCAAACATAGTTCATAAGACAAAAAAATGCCAATAAAAGACAACTTCAGTCATGACATGTTTGGTAATTATGAAAAAAGTCATGAATGCACCATTCTTATAATAAAGATTTGACATAATGAGTGGGGATACCCACAGTGGTGGTTCTAGGGTAAATTTACCAGGGGGACAAAGGTGGGACCAGCGTTTTTTTCATGGTTGCACAGAGCAAAAGGATAACTACACAAAGTGTGCATTGTTTAGTATATTAATTGAGCCACAAAGCCAAGGTTGCAGAACGTTGATTGAACAGATTAAAACTTTTTATCTATCCTTTAAAATGCAACAATCATTTAGAAATTACAGTCAGCTCTAAGCTTGAGCTTGAGCTTGTGAAAATAGAATCAAAGTTTTAATCTGTTCAATCAAAGTTCTGCAACCTTGGCTTTTGGGGCTCAATTAATATCTTATGTCATTGAAAAAAAAATTAAAACAGGACAATAATACATCTTTCAACATATTAAGTAAGCTACAGAACCAAAGAGCTGATTGTGGCTCTGAAGAACCCAGATATAGCAGATTAAAAAGTAGGTTTTGTTCATTTTTTAAAGACATACGTTTAAAGGTGTATTGTGATCCTAGAACAACTGTTATGAAAAAAATATCAGCATCAGTCAAAATTGAATGTGACAGGGTTGTTAGAGATTTTTCCATTTTCCCTATAATACAGACAGTGACAGCAGTAATACTCTCAAGTGGAAAGTTCTAACTTATTTATAATTCAAATTTTATATATATAAACAATTAACTGACAACAAAAACCCTGTGGTTAATTATCCGCTTTTGGCCACCCCATCAGTGTACATTGGTTATTGCCTGGCCACCCTTATGAAAAATTTCTGGCTACGCCTCTGGACAACAGGATCCATACCAGGATCCAAGAGGGGCACTTTTCCAGATTGGATGGGCTTCCTAAATAAACATTTTTGCCTCACTGTGGGTGGTCTCAAAATAGCCATAACAGATTGGAGAAAAATGAATATGTTCATAAATGACACTGATAATCTACGAATCTACTGCATAAGGCGCCTTTTCTCTCCAATGTGCGTTTGAGTGTTTGTGCGGCGATGGGCGGAGGCCTCAGTGAAGCTCCTCTGGCGCTGCGTGTTTACAACAGCCTGCTGTAGTAGAGCAGCAGACACCGAACACATCGGAGACACGAGTGGGGCGTGTTCGTATTAGGGGTCAGAAACTCTGTCCAATCAGCTTCCAGTAAACCACTCACTGGCTGTCCCGCTCAGCCAATGCCGCGCGCTTCCAATCGGGGACGCGAGCTAATAGGAAGAGCGAATAGCGCAGGCACGTGGATCTACGCACACGTTAACGGTCGTAAAGAGGAGCAGCGAGTGTAGACAGAGATCGATGAGCAGCCTGGCGGTGTGTGTGAGAGCGAAGGATGGACTCAGCGATGCTGCTCCAGCTACGGACTGAGTACTGACGGATCTACCAAAGCAGAGGCCGGATATTTGAACCGAGGCTTACATTATTATCACACATTAGTGGCGGTGAGTATTAAACGATGCTTCCTGGAGCTGGTAGACCAGCCTAACGGAATTTCCTGTCCAGATTTATGCGGTTTATGCTGTTAAAACAATGACTTTTCTTTTCCCCTCCATTCCCAACGTGAGTATATATATTTATATATGCCGTTAGTTTTGGTTAAAACGCAAACGTAGCTTTTTAAAATTTATTTTATAATATAACTTTGTGTGGAAACGTGCAGTATGTGCTGGTATGTTGTAGTGGGCGTGATTAATGGAGATCACCCACCTGTACCTGAGCCCTGCATGCACCATCCCTCCCCAGTCTGTCCCCAGCAGGCTTTCCCACACAACTGATCCACATTTTAATTTTATTTTAATGCTCTTAATCTTTTTATTAAATAGCAATAAAATATTAATTATCAATTTGCAGGGTAGCTATTTATAAAATGAAACAAGACAAAGAAAAAAATAGGAGAAAGAAAAAACTGATAAACCATTTATCACAAGAAAAAAAAAAAATCCACACTTTTGACTTGTATACCCCAATCCTAAATATATATTCTTATTAGTGTAGAGTTTTTGTTCTATTCATAATCCTATAGAACTGATGATGCAGTTAGTATAATAGATATTTTCTTAGAAATGTTTACAGCTGATACTTTAGTTTCTTTTATGTTTGTTATAACTAATAACTTTCAAACTGACTTATCTCTTTATGTTTTTAGCCATTCTTCTCTGTTATCTCTTTTAAATCCTAAATATATTTAGTGTAAGCTTACTTTATTATTTAAGTTTGTGTATTGTTAATCAAAAATATATTACTCTGTCAAACATATACATTTATAAGTGTATATATATGTGTATGTGAGTGTTAATTTTTTAGTATTGACTGGTTATATTAATCAGTTATTGCTAAATCCCAGATGTATAATTTTGATACTTTCTTTTCACCTCCTTATTCTAAAATTACAAGGGAGATGGTAGGATTGTTACATAACAAACATATAACCTCAGATTTTTGGGAGGGGAACAGTGAGGTGCTCTTGGAGGCCCCCTCTCGGACCCGAGGTGGCCCCCCATGTAGCAGTTAGGTTGCCTTGGGCTGACTGCTTTGACAAATCAGGAAATAAACAACCAAATGATGCATTACTTGAATTGATATGAAGTTGTTTGTATTTTTTTTTATAATTCTAGTTTGGCTGAAAATTCCCATTGTAACTTAAATGGGCAAACCTGAGTGTTTAATCCCTCATTTAGCCGTTCTGAGTGCATAAATGTGTATGAGTCTCTCTGATGGAAGCTGGGGTGTTTATTTCCCCACTGCATACCTATTTGCCCATATGTGCCGATGGGATCAGAGGACCAAAGACACAGACTGTGAGGGAAGGGTGATGAGAGAAGCTGGAGAGAATCAAAAATATGAGTGGAAAGATAAAGGCTGTGTGGTTGGGATGAAGGCAGCATGGCTTGCCGAAATGCATCCAGAGAGGAAAGTAGGTGGTTTGTGTGTTTCTAATCCTAATGGGGAGGGGGGGGCAGAGAAAGCACGAGACTGAAGAGAGGAGGGGCTTCGTTTGCAACCGGAGGCTGTGGTGGAGTGTGAGTGTGCCTACTCTGATTTCACCACTCCACGAGCTCCCATCCCCCCCTTCACATTTCCTACTCTCCTCCAGTCTCCTCAATGGGAGCCAGACATGTACCACTGTTGTGTGCCTCCTGCATAAACCCCCAGCCCTACTCTGATCCATGTTAAACTAGGGCACTGGTAGACCCACCATTTTGAGTTGTGGGAGTTGGATATTTAGGAAGAGAGATGGGTGGAGCATTTTGGAAACAGGAAACACGCTGAGCTTGTTGGGATTTTTATGTGTTGGTGTTCATTTTTCCAAAAATCTAAATCTACCTTGTATTAATCTGAACCTCTCACTATTTTTTCCTCAAAGTGATGCAGTCTCAAGGAAGCACATCCACCCAGCCCTCCTTCGATTCCCTGAGCTCCAGCGACAGCCTCGCGCTCAGCGACTCGGAACAGACAGAGGATGACACAGATGTCTTTTTGATGGACAGCTCTTCCTCCGTCATCATCGGTGAAGTGGCATCCAGAAATGATGTGGAAGCAAGGAGCCCCAGGTCCCAATGGACGTACAGCAGCTTCCCGAGGAAGGAGGAGGAGACATACAGGCTGCAGAACCACAGCAAAGGGGCAGACTTCGGCCTGGTCCGCACAGATCCTGCGGGCCAGAGACCGAAATCACAGGGAGACCTGCTGTTTGCTCAGAAGGTACGAAGGAGAGGAACGACATGACAGTATTTGTACAGTGGTGAGCTCTTCTGAGCGTGTAATATTTCTTCTCTGTCTTCTTCTCCGTCAGTGTGCTGAGCTGCAGGGTTTCGTCAGGCCGCTCCTGGAGCTGCTGAATGGACTGAAGAGCGGTCGATTTGACCACGGTAAGCATTCCTAAACCATTGCTTCCTGCAAGCATGCATGGACTTGTGGTGCAAGGTGTGGATAGAAACAGACTGTGAGAACCTTTTTAGCAAACTGTGCAAATTCCTGCAGGGTTCAAGTCGTCAGAAAAGACACAAAGTGCAGCGAACATGAGGCAGCAGCCTTGATTTTTATACTTTACCTCTCTGCGGTGCTACATGAAGCAGTACCTGTATGCATGTCATTACATGTATCCATTCAGTGTAAAGGCTGACAGGTGGATTATGCGTTTGATTGACAGGTTTAAGCAGTTTCCAGCAGAGCGTCGCCATGGATCGCATCCAAAGGATTGTCGGAGTTTTGCAGAGACCACATTGTGGGTAAGAAGTCATTTACATTGCCTCCCAGTCACACACTAAATGAAGAAGGTTCCTTGATTACAATTTTTATTTTGTTGACATTTCTTTGCAATTAAATCACAATCTTCCATGTGTTTTAAACAAACTTCATGAGAAAAGATCAACAAAGTTGGATGGTTGCTATAAAGCGGGCTTACACATTGAAAAAATAATGCAACCATCTTTGGCATTTACTTAATCATATTTAGTTACTTTAACATAATTGTTTATGTCCTACCCTGCTAACATGAAACAATTGTTAAAGTAGCTAAATATGATTAAGTAAATGCCAAAAATGGTTGCATTATTTTTTCAGTGCACTGTGTGATTTCTTTTCTTTTTTTTGCCCTTTTCGGGCCAACTTTCCAGTCGTGCAAGAATTTTTCGATCGGGCCGACTTTCAGCCTGATCATACGTCATGTAGAGTCCGATCAGGAATCGTGAGCAAATCGCTTAGTGCGTATGCGCAAACAAGGATTCTTCTTCCTCTCAGATAAGAACACATAAGTATGGCGGGGTTGCGGATGAAAGGGAGTTCTTTCTGTAAAATTGACAGATGGTAGTAGCCACATAAGGCTTTCAGCACAAAATTTCACAAATTGCCAAGGCAGCTCGTTTCAATCTAGTGAGCTACATATTCCTCTTCTACTTGTTTGGCTTCCGGATAGACAAGTCTGAGTAGCACCATCTCACTGCAGAGCTGAGTCGGACTTGGTTTTTAGACGTAAAGTGTGAGCAGGTAGATTGCATCAGAGCGTCGTGCTGAACATGCATCGTGAGCTTTGAACGCACACTGTGTGAGCTGCGTGCAACGATTGAAAAAAAAATCGCAGAGTATGCCCAGCTTAAAGTGGCAAGAATGTTATACAATTTTTTATTTGGCCTCTACTTCTAGTTTGAAGTATTTTTTCTAATAGAGGACTTTCAGCCTCTTTAGGTGCAAATCTCTGAGACGTTCATAGGGACTGAATTCAAATGCATGCCACACCATTCAAATTTTTTAACAGAAACCTTTTGAGCCACTTATCCCTTTCTGTGAACTTTAAATGTTCTTACTAATTTGTTGATGTATTTCATGAAGTCCCTTTAAAATACATTAAAACCTGTCTGAAACCTGGAGACATCCTGCTGCATGATAGGAGGATGAACATGTTTATTAAACAGTGTAAGAGCTTTGAGGGAGAATCTCATGTGTTTTTGCCTCTTGCATGTTAAACTTCTAGGAGTAGAATTCTGACCCCTTTTGACCCCTTTGTTTTTCAGGGAGAAGTACCTAAACACTTTGCTCCAGGTGGAGGCGATGTTAAAGCTCTGGTTTCCACATATCTCCAGTCAGCCTGTGTCCTCGTCCTCCAGTGTTGCCGCATCCCCCACTCATTCCCTCCAGGACACTTCCAGCTCTACTCCGCCGCACAAACACAGAGATCAGCTGCATATTCCAGTCAAGGTTAGTATGCACACATTGTCTATCAGTCTGTGTTCTAACAAATAAAGCCCCCCTCACGATCCTTTCGGCTCTACTGAGATGTAACATTCATTTGCTTGCTCTCCTGTTTACTTTCCAGAAGCGCAGACTCAGCTGGACAGACACAGACTCTCCCACATCCTCCCCAATACCTATCAAGTGCCGTCGTAGCAGTGGAGAGGAGAGCAGGGAGAAGCACAATCAAGATGATAGGAATCCGTCTACCTCTTCTCCATTGCTGTCTTCTAAGGCTTTACCAGGCGTGGTCTGCGGCAGCCAGCTAATCGATGGCCCAAAGGGAAATGACAGCGAGGGCGACCCGGACGAGCGTTCCAAGTACAAAGGAGCCCAGAGCTCAGAGCCCAGGCTGACCTGGGTGCATGTCGCTCCCATCCCATCCCCGCGGAAATCTTGTGTCGCTCATGGGGTCACAAAAATGGAAGGAATCGACGAAAGCATTCCCACTGCGAGCAGCAGGGGCAGTCCAGCAATGCAAGACTGCTCCATCTCGTCCACCACCCCCGCTAAGAACCCCAAAAATCAAAAGAAGCCAACGCAGTGCCAAAGCCAGCTCGCTGCTTCAGGACAACGAGGTGAGACTACAGGGACATGTCAAGGTCAAAGCCAGCCCACACTTGTCTCACTGAAGCCCCTGGCCCGGGTATGTCCCTCCACTGTGGAGACCTGACACACCTAACGAGGAAATAGCCGGCAGCCTTGGCCCATTCACAACACCCAAGGCTTAAAGCTGCTGCAACACAAATAAAGGGGAAAAAAGGATGTTTATGTATGCATTTCATATAGAGGAGAAAAGCTGTTAGTGGAGATTGGTATATAGGACAAAGTATTCTGCAAAGGGGTAAGGAAACTTTGGAAGTGAGGTTCTGATAAAACACTATAAGCACTTAATAACTTATCTGGCTCTTTTGCTTTAGTATAAATCCAGAATAGTTGGTCCTGGAGGCTAAAGGTGATAGCTAATAAAAAAGGACACTTAACCTTAAAAAATACTTCCAACATGGCATGTGTTTAAGAGTAGAAGGTCTGTCGGAAATTTAATATTGTTTACATCACAGTGGGACCGTTTCAGCTTTTTGTTTTCACAAAAGCATTGCCAAACAAAAAAAAAGTGAGAGATTATTTATTCTTTTATCTATTATCTTCTCTACATATTAGACAAGAAAACTGCTTTACTCGTTTAGTTTTCAGTAAGCGGTTCACTCAGGAAGATATCTGGTAGCACATCGCCTATGTACCACCATTCCACTTATAATGAATCAACTTTGCAATGAGTAACAACCAGAGGTGAACAGTAAAAGGCTCTAAAAGTAGATCTTGCTTAGTGGTGCTTTTGAGATTGACGCTGTTCTTCAGTGACAGACGTCCAGGACCAACTATCCTGAGTTTATACTATATTAAGATGCAGAGAGAGTTTTCCTTAGACACTAACTGCTTATTACCTTTAACAGAAGCTCACTTAAATCATACCATCCCTTTAAACTGTGCATTATATATATTTAATATAATGTTTTACAATTATATAAAAAGAATATTGAAATAATTAATCTTGACATGCACTAAAGGGGGGTTATGATTAAAGATGAAAAAAGCTAAAGTTGGCTTAAAGATCAGGAGTTCAGACATGATGATGGAGAGAGGATGGAATTTAGAGAACCAACAGACAGAATAACTTCAGCATGAAAACAATCAGTATATTTAGAGAAGGCTGTTATTGCACAACTTGAACTTGAAACTAAACATAAGGAGTGTGATGTCAGTGTTTGAAATGAAAACTTTGAATGCTCTGATTTCAATTAGAGAAATTAAGAGTGAACATATTTTTTCTTTTAAGGTTCGAAAGGAAGCCTGTTTCACTATTACAGCTAATTGTAGATAGGACAGATGAGAAATGGTTATTAAAGTGAGTAATGATGCATTAACAGGAAATACAGATCTGACTGGTTATTACACTGTATATAGGAGGGTTGAAGTTGAAAAGATGGGGAAACAAATATGTAACATCCAGCGAATGTATTCCAAAATGTCTGAAGGCTTCTCATCCAGAGGAGCGTCGCCGTAGCATCAACCCGTCTCGCTGTGAATCAGGCGCTGCTGCCAGGTGTCTGAAAACGGACCGGCGATCAGGGTCCAGAATGACTTTTTAAATGACCAGCCTGAAGAAAACAGACAAACAATAACCACTTATACATATGACTCTAATCCCGCCGTTAATTTATTCATGTTTCAATCAGATACTGCAGCTATTTATTATTGTTTGTATTTATTTATTGGGCAGCTTATTATTGCCTGCTGTGCACTGGCATAGCTCGGCCCACAGTCTTTGGGATCTTTTTTTTTTAAGCTTATGACATTTCATGTGTTTTTTACTACTATTACAAGGAGAACAACGGAGGCAGATGGAACATTTTGAATGGACTATTGGACTACTGTGCCTTTTGTCAATTTGTTCAAAGGAAACAAAAAAGATCTTGGTGCTTTCCGTGCATTTTGATTGTTTGCAATTCAGAAAAAACTACACAATCTATTGAATATTTAATGCATCAAAACCAACAGAATATTGGCCAACTAAGATAGCAACATCCACATCTGGTGACTACTGCTGATCCTCACTGCCCACATCTTGAGCCGATGCGGTGTGTTTTTGTATCTGAGTTGGAAACCAGTGATTCAAAAACAGAAACAAGTGTTAGATTTGATTACTTTATTGTTTTTAACAATATGAGCCTTTTGTTTTCTCTTGATTTGATAAAAAAAAAATCAACATGTAGGAAGATCCTTTAATTTGATGATTAAAAATAGGAAGAACAATAAGAAAAATATCTTGATTTGGATCATGAGATCATCCTGTGGTGTGACTGTAGAAGGCAGTGTCTCTGCTGTGCCCCTCAGAGGTGTTAACGATTTTAATTATGAGAGTGACAAAATGAATATTCCACAAGTTTGGATGCTTTTTGATGAGGAAAGTTTCTTTATTGTCTCATATTTCATTTCGTGTTATAAATACTGTCCCTATCTACGGGCAATGATGTCAGGGTGAAGGATTTACTTCATTATTAATTGAAAAGTGAAAAAAAGAAAAGATGGCCTGTATTTTGCTTAAGTAGTATTTTAAAATGACCTCAGATAACCACTTGGGATGTTCTTTGTTTGTTTTTTATTACTGATCTGTGATTGAGAAAATCCCATTATAGACCTTTCATTGGCCGAATCAGCACATCAGCAGTGATTGATTTTATTATTATGATTAAGTGTAATCTTCTAATTGAAGTGTTTATGCTCTTAAAATATAAAAAACGAATATGAATTAGTTAGTAAATCCTTATTTGTATTAGATGTCCCATTGGGCCCACATATTTCTAATTTATCAATAAGCTAACATTCCTATAACCATTGGGTTATCTTTATCAATGTGATTGGATTTACTTGTATAACAAAAACGTATAGATATTGAAAGTATTTTAACCTTTTTTTTTTATTAATTATAATCCACAAATTTTGTAGCGAGGGAAAGGAGTCCTTTAAAAAGCCCCACATGTAAACACAGAGCCCCCCAAGCAGCCATCATGTTTCTGGAGCAGTGAGCTCAAGCCTCCATCACAGATCCAGACTCTGAATCAGAGCCTGAGGTGGGGGCGTCGTCTTCCACCTCATACTTGTTTACTGTTGAAGTGTGACAGAGAAACCAATTGCACTTATTTGTTATTCTGCATTTTTTTTTAAATGGCTTTTTCTGGGATTTTTTTACTGTGACGTCCACTGCTGATTGGTCAGGAATAACAATGTCTTGTTTGTTTTAGCTGCCTTTTTCTGGTTTGATGCTAACTGTAGAAGCGTCCCTTCCCCCACTGGGCTGCACCGGTCTGCCCTTCCTGTCTCTCCTATGTCTCCCTCAATCCACTTAGTATCCTTTACTTTGGAAAACACTTTTTTTTTCTATCACCCCATCTCTTTTTTGTTATTAATCATCCCGGCTTTATCTTCAGACAACACGAGACAAAAATCTTTTAATAAATGACACGTTTTTGAAAGTAAGAGTCTTCTGTGTTTCTTTTTTTTTTTGAGCAAAACAAAATGACATTTCTGTTTTTAGCCTTTTTTTGATTTCCTTCATTATCATGATATGAGTCAGACCTGTTTTGAAAAGCAGCTCTCCCTAAACAGAAGTGACTCAATGAGGTGCAGTTTTAGGGACTACATTTAGAAGTGCGTGTTAGCTTGTGGGGTGGGGGTTTGAAGTGAAGGGGAGGAAGGAGGGGTATGGTATAAGACTACTGTCTTTAATCTGACTGAAAGTAGTGGGGGGGCCGGCTGATCCTCCAACCAGCTGCCACTGAAAAGCCCAAACATTCCTACTGTGTATTTCTCTGCATATTCAGGTTCCGAAATCATTAGTAATTACCTCCAAATAGAAGAAGAACCTGGATCCAGAGTCATAAATTAAAGGAGAAAGTCGCAGGATTTCACTTTATCTAAAATATGAAAAGTTTGAGAATCCAAATTTCCTCTGAAATATGAATTGAGGTTACTATTAATATGTAAAAAACTTATTTAAATCCAAGGTTTTTGAGCTAAATGTAATCAGTTTTCCACAAATAGTTAAAGGGTAAAACAAATGATCAGTGTAAAGAATATAAAAAAAAATAGGTAAAAGCTGTATAAACCTGGCTGAGTACAACGTCGGACTAATTTTGTTTCAGCATCTCATCTGCATGAGACATTTGCATTCAATTATATTGAATCAAATCAATTGTACTTGAGGATTTTGTTTTACAGCTGCTCATTTTCAACATTTAATTTAAGCTCAAATATACAGAAAAGTTGCAGAGGAAAACAAATCTTTGTTTAATGTAACAGGACAAAGGTGCAGATAAATCCCATAAAGTGAAAGCAGTCATCAAGGGAACAAACAAACAAGATGGTGACCATAGAGGCTTCCAGAGACTGAGGATCTCTAAAAAAGCTGGCAATAATATTTTTGATTCTTCATATAATAATACACAATATGGTTAAAACACATAATTCTTTTTTAACATATTAAAATATCTAGTTAATAAAAAAAAAGATAATCCTAAAACCTTAAGGCGTGCATTATGACACAACTAAAAGTTTGGCACCAAGCAACATCTCCCAAAAGAACACTTCACCTAAAGTCCTTAATTTGCTGCCTTTAAATCCATCCTATGAATCCTCTGAGACACTCCTGAGAGATCCCCTTTGGACGGAGATTTGGTGACTATACATGTCACTGGAGTAGAGGGGAGTTATTATGAAAAATTATTGGAGATTATTTAAATTTGGAGATATGGTGCATTTCCCAGATTGAAACAGCCATCAAATGTAGGTACGACCATGAAGGGACTAGTATCAGCCAAAGATACTAGGGTAGAGCTTGGGAAATAAGATGATGCACACTGAAAAAATAAAATAAAAAACACCATTATACCACCATAACTAGCATGGCGCATTGGATCCATGACTTAAAATTGTTTCTGACCCTAACATCTAATGTTTGCAATTTAAGGACCTTAGCTGAGAAGACTGGAACTGAGTTTTGTGTTCATCCTGTCTGCTTTTATTGCTTTTCTATATATATATATATATATATATATATATATATATATATATATATATATATATATATATATATATATCCTAGAATATTTAAATTTGAGCCCGCAAAAAAATATTTTGAAGATTAAAAAAGAATGATAGACTTGACATTTTCAGAAGTTCTTACAGATTTATGATTTTGATTATATCAGTTTAACATAATAAGAAATAGTTGGAAAAAATGGATTTAACTTAAGATAAAAGAAAAAAATGGTCAAATATTGAAATTACCCTTTACTCTGGGATGTGTGGTTATAAAGAGGTGGATTTTGGTAGGGTTTGCTTCGATTTCTCCTTGGTCAAACAGCATGAAATCAGCAGCAGGTTTATAAACATAGATATACGAGCATCACATGAAGCAGGAGGAACAGACCAACAGGAGTGCACTGCTTTCTGACATACCCAATGGTTGATTTCGTGACAGGTCTGTCTCTGACACACTGACTGTGCTACACTACAACAACAGAGACCCCCCACCTCCCCTCCCTCTGTTTCGGCCCCCCCTTGTATCCATGCAGTTTTTAGCAGACAAGCAATTGCCCTGCTTCTCTCCAACAGCAACACACCCCTTTTTCCTCCTCTGAAGCGTGAAAGCGAGGGGCAAAAGAGGAGGGAGGAGAAAGGGATGTGCTAGAGTCAAAGAAGGACACATAAAGATTGCCACAGTTAGCAAAAACAAAAATGGCTTTTAGTTGTACTTTTAAGCTTAAAACTAAAAATATTTGATTTTGAATACGATATTTTCATCTGTTTTCTATATTTAAACATTTCTAACTCCTCTGCAATGTGTTAACAGAACAAAGCAGTAACACCATTAATACCCTTAGTAGTTTTCACTTCTCTCAGTATCC